GTTCATTCGGTTTTTTGGTAGTAGACCATGAGGGCTTGACAGTATAATTGTTCAAAGACAAGAAAACGGGTCCGAGGAAAAAAATATGTATTTGGACGGCCCGTCGAATAGCATTGGTTGATCGGTGTGCTGTACTATGGTACATCCGAGTGATTTCAAAAAGCGAGCCCTACTGGCACGCTTAAAAAGCAGTGGCGTGGCGTGCTTTTGGATATATCGATGGATCGGCTATTTAAACCTATGGGAAAGGATCGACTGACAGGGTGTTCGCAACGGACACCTTACCCTGCTAAAAATGTTCCATGTGGATTCACGTGGAAATGACCCGATTTCCATGTGATTTCATGGAAATCGTCTCACTTCCATGTTCTTCGACATGGAAATCATAACGTTTCCATGAAACTCACATGGAAACCAAGTCATTTCCATCAAGCCGTCATGGAAATGAAAACATTTCCTTGTGAGCTCGACATGGAAATCATAACACTTCCATGCAACTCACACGGAAACCAAGTCATTTCCATCAAGCCTTCATGGAATTGAAAATCCCCTTCTCAGTTCGGCATGGAAATAAAAATTGCGGATTTAAACATGAATTTCGCGGCTTTAAAATCTTGCAATTTTTGGGCAATTCTAAACTGGACATACGCTCCGACATGCGCAACATGCGAAAATTACACATCGGAGCGTGAGTGTCGCGTTTGAAGCATAACTACGATGTGGAAGGCGCTCCGCAAGGTGCGCGCCAAGGAATTATACTCGGTATACGGTTCAAACCAGAGATGCAAGATTTTATATGTAACTTCATAAAATGAAATTCCGTGAATTCCAATCATTTTTGAAAACTTCTGTGCTATGGGCTCATTATGACATGAAAAGGAAAAATCTTAAGTTTTGGAAGGGGGGGGGGGAAATGAAGGGAAAAAAGAAAAAACCGAAAGAAGAGCTATACGATCATTGTTGCGGGTTGCATTAGCAGTCAAATTTTTTATCTCAGGCGTATGTTTTGAAAGGAGGTGAAGAAGATCCCCATATCAGGGTGATCGAAAAAAGTCTCAATTTTGTTCATCACTTAAGTACTTTTTCATCAGAAGGTATAGTGTTTAGCATGTTATGTTTTTATATCTTCAGTTATTAAATCCTCTAAATTTTTTTGTAAAGAATATGAAAATAATTGCTGGAACCAATTTTTTTTAATGATATGATTTCGATCTCAGCCCCTGAAAATCAAGTACCTGAAATTTTATGAAGCTCAATAATTAAAGAAATGTGCCAAAATGTATGATGGATAAAAGCTTAGTATGTACTTACATCTACACTCAAGTGAAAGCAATAATAAGCACAATAATCTTAAAAAGTACATGGTGTACTCAAAGCTCCTTGATGAAAATTAGGGCCACCCTTTCAGACATACTTTGTGGGCAGGCCATCTATGACAGCCATGGGAACTTGTTTGACGGGTATATGTCATTATGTAATTGATATCAGCGCATAGACCTTCTAGGACTTGTAGGATTTTCTATATCATAGCAGCGTAGTTTTTCAAAGTTCGCATGTTAGCAGTTCTAAACACACATGTATCTTCCACTAGGCATGTGTAAAGAGAATCTTTCAGCTAAATATGCATCATGCAAAGTAATAATGGATGACATATGTCATGCAGACATACTCAATAAAATAGAAAATGAACAAACAACACTCACCAACTCGCTCAAATCTGTAATCCACCGGGTCAGAAAAATCCACTTGAAGACAATAAATCCAAATTTCCGATTAGAACTGGTGCAGGTACGAAGGAACTTTTGAAAACACGATGAGTGCATTGTAAAAATATCTAAAGCACTCTTTAACGTAAGAGAAAAATTAGCACCATGATTTAATAGCTGATCAATACAGAACACCACTCTCAGAAAAGCACTGACACAACACGATTTTTCAGTTTAGTTTCAGAGGAGAAAGCATTTTTCAAAAGATGCGACATCATAGATCTACAGCTTAAATAATTTCACGATTTACTACGATCATTGATGATATTAAGGTAGCCATCGATTCTCTACCCGACGTTCCTTCCACACATGACAGGAAACATCTACAGGCATAGAGCGAATGGCACTGAGCAGCAATGTACATCTGATAAGGCAAGCTCCTGGAAGTGTCGGTCTGCAAAAATACAAAGCGGGAGACAGATCATCAAATTGATCTACCTATGGTTAATGGCCGTCTTTGGAGACAGACAATAAACTACGTAACAATATATCAACCACCTTTTGATAACAGAACGAATTTAAAATGAGAGCAAGACCCTTCCTTATGGAGGGAGGGCCAAGAAACATTTAAAAACGGAACATTTTACTACTTACAGGTCTGAGCCACTGAATAAAATACATTCCACCAGTCAATAAAATTTTAAATGTTGATGGATAACCTGATTGCCGGTATACATTGAGTTGAAACATCTGATACGTAGAGCGGTTCATTCTTATAGAAGCTTTCGTAAGTAGTTCCAGATAGGTACTTTAAAATTAGACACCGGTCAAATGTAGTACAAGAGAGGAAATGGGTGCAACAAAACTTTAATTGTCCTTGATTCTTTTGTGAAAGGTGTGAAAGTGAAAAATTATTCATTAAATTACTTACTTTACTTGAGGTGATGTGAGAGATAAATATAACCTAACTTTTGTGAAGATGTTCCTAGTTCCTGGAATAATCGTTCCTTGCCGATACTTCCAGGGTTGTATTTATTATCTAAATAATTATCAGGCAAATGTTTTCAAAAGGATTAAAATACAAAAACTGGCTCTCTCTAATCATTATAGCGGCTGATTTTCACTCATTTTCATACGCAACCTCGATAGTCGATAAAAAGGCAAAAGGCGGAACCGGGCGGAACCGCGGAATGGTCCCTCGTCCAACTGGTCGATGTCCAACTCGCACTCGGAACTCCGGAGACCGGACCATTGTTCAATTCAATCCAATCCAATCCACCCAGCCAGCCAAGCCATGCCATGCCGTGAATTTAAAAATGAAAACTTAATTTTGATCTACTTTTCATGATTCTTAACGAAGAATCGATTGTATTATCGGCGTCTACTTGACTATACTCAGTTTCATCGAACACAGGTAAATTATCTCTCTTTCACTTCTTGACGACGGACACACCTAAGTATGAGCCTGTCACCTTGTACTTACATTACACATTTGTCATGTCAAGCTATACTGATCAAGTAACTCGAGTTTAATTTTCTTTGCCGATTTACGATTCAGTCGATATTTTCTAACGAGCGAGGTAATCGTGAATTCTATTCTCTTGGTTTGCGAATGCATTTACTACCATGTGCTATTCCTAACCGTGGTTACGAAGTTGATCGAAGAGTCTACGTCTAATAAATCTATCCACTCCTTCCGTGGGAAGGGAGATAATCTTTCATCTATTTAGCATTGAAGGGAAAGACCAGAATCAAGATGGTGGATCTTCTGTTGCACTCTCTAAGTGCAAATCTTATTATCCGCGGACTTCATCACAAGTAGAAACTTCCCAACTCTTGCAGGCGAGTGCTATAGGTAGTCTGTTGGAACATCCTCATACTGCCTGCATTTTCCTTGTGTCTTCAAAAGAATCAAGGACAATTATAGTTTTGTTGCACCCATTTCCTCTCTTGTACTACATTTGACCGGTGTCTAATTTTAAAGTACCTATCTGGAACTACTTACGAAAGCTTCTATAAGAATGAACCGCTCTACGTATCAGATGTTTCAACTCAATGTATACCGGCAATCAGGTTATCCATCAACATTTAAAATTTTATTGACTGGTGGAATGTATTTTATTCAGTGGCTCAGACCTGTAAGTAGTAAAATGTTCCGTTTTTAAATGTTTCTTGGCCCTCCCTCCATAAGGAAGGGTCTTGCTCTCATTTTAAATTCGTTCTGTTATCAAAAGGTGGTTGATATATTGTTACGTAGTTTATTGTCTGTCTCCAAAGACGGCCATTAACCATAGGTAGATCAATTTGATGATCTGTCTCCCGCTTTGTATTTTTGCAGATCGACACTTCCAGGAGCTTGCCTTATCAGATGTACATTGTTGCTCAGTGCCATTCGCTCTATGCCTGTAGATGTTTCCTGTCATGTGTGGAAGGAACGTCGGGTAGAGAATCGATGGCTATCTTAATATCATCAATGATCGTAGTAAATCGTGAAATTATTTAAGCTGTAGATCTATGATGTCGCATCTTTTGAAAAATGCTTTCTCCTCTGAAACTAAACTGAAAAATCGTGTTGTGTCAGTGCTTTTCTGAGAGTGGTGTTCTGTATTGATCAGCTATTAAATCATGGTGCTAATTTTTCTCTTACGTTAAAGAGTGCTTTAGATATTTTTACAATGCACTCATCGTGTTTTCAAAAGTTCCTTCGTACCTGCACCAGTTCTAATCGGAAATTTGGATTTATTGTCTTCAAGTGGATTTTTCTGACCCGATGGATTACAGATTTGAGCGAGTTGGTGAGTGTTGTTTGTTCATTTTCTATTTTACTGAGCATGTCTGCATGGTCCAAATATCATGTGCTCCCATTGGGACGCTTGTCTCCTTTGTCTTGATTCTAAGATTTATTTAATTTCCGTGAGCAATTTGGATGGTACTGAAACCTTCTTGTGATCATTTTTATGCAAATGGTTTTGTTTCCATGAAAAATTGTCACGGAAATGATCTCGTTTCCATGAAAAATTTTCACGGAAATGATTTCGTTTCCATGAAAAATTTTCATGGAAATAAGCCACATGGAAATCAGCCACACGGAAATCAGCCACATGGAAATATTTCCTGTTCCATTTTTCCGTGTCATTTTTTCATGGAAATCAACTTCATGGAAATCATCCACACGGAACATTTTTAGCAGGGTAATAATCGATTCTTTGCCATAGCTTCAAACGGAGAAATACCGATAATGGATCGTTCACATTTCGCCACTGTAACAATGCTCACAAAAAATGAGATCTAGGCTCTAAGAAATAAGAAAGTATATTGTGTCAGATTGCTCGAAAACTGGAGGTATTAAATTATTCTAAATTTTTTACAAATGGATTCAGCAACTTTTTATGACAAACCTAAGAAGCTCCTCCAGCTTCTGCAAACATATTTCTGGAAAAAACAGATTGGATTTCTTACATATCTTGTAGGTTATAAAATAACAAATTCCCACTTATAACTATCCGAGTGATCAAATAACCGAAGTTCGAAATGACAGCTGAGCCTTTTCAGCCATGATTTTTAACTTTTACTGCGTGATCCTCTTTTGGGCGAAGGACTCCTGGATGAACTCTTAGACATGGATGGACTTTTAGACCTGCTTCTCTTTTGCGAATAACTTCGAGCTCTAGCGCGCGACGGACTGTGGTATCTACTGTGAGATGCACTCTTGCTGCCACTGCTCTTGGAGTAAGAGCTGCTTTTGGCCCCCTTCCTGTGATGTTTCGTCCTCTTTTGCTGCGACTGTGACGCTTTATGGTATCCTGACTCCGTCTTGACCCATTTCTTGTGCACAACGGCAACTACCTGGCCCATCCCTGGTCTATTTTTCTTCTTGGACACTTTGCTATTGGTTTTCCTGGTCTTCGAGCCTGAGCTTGAGGAAGAATGTCCACTGGACGAGGACCCCGAGGGCTCGTCATCTTTGTAGTCATCGTCGTCCTCTTCAGAGTCGCTTCCGGACTCGGAGTCGGACCCCCCTCCTTTTTTAAGGAGCTCGCTCAAATCCGGTGTGCCAGATCGGAAAGATTCCTCCGTCCGCATGGGTGGGTCCTCTGTCCGAAAAGATTCCTCTGTCCGCATGGGTGTCCCCTCTCTCCGAAACGATTGCTCTGTCCTCATGGGTGTCCCTTCTCTCCGAACCGTTTGCTCTGTCCGAATCGGTGGCGTTTCCACCCGGTACGATTGCGGCTGAGTGTACTCGGTTCGGAAGATTCTCTGTTGTCCGGGAATCTCTTGTCTTGATAAGTTCCATGAGATCATTCGGGTATCGCCGTTTTTGTCAGTGAAAGTCTCCTGGCCGCTGGTTTGTCCATTCATCCGCTGTCTTTCGATTTTTCGCGCTACGTCGGGGTACTCTTCCATCAGTTTCTTTAATTCATCAGTCGGCTGGATTGAGAATTTTTGTTGGATTCCCGGGTTTCCGAGAAGGCGTCCATTGAGTGCATCGAGATCAAGATTGGTCGGGTTGAGGGGCCAACTTGCTGCCAACCCACCCTTAGGGGAGCGGGTGCTCAGTTGTTGCTCCGACTCCAGCACCACGTCCGGCAAGGGCTCTCCGCCTCCTTCGACAAGGGTTCCGCGCTTAGCTCCAGCTCTTTCCACTTTCTCTCCATTGTTGGCAGCGTCTTTTCCGGGGCCCAAGCTTGGATTTGCCTCGCGGAGGTAGTCAATCGTTTTCCCGGCGCTGAGACCAACTACATCACGTGCGTCGCCTCCGGCGAGGCCAACGAACAACCAATGCACCTGCGCAGAAAAACATGGTTAACATGAACGGGCCAGGAATACGACATCGGAACGTTGCTTAGAATGAGTTTGCAATACAACGGCGAAACTAAAAAACCGCCTATCTCGCTTTGCGACGCTCAAAAGTATCCTTCGTTATTTCTTCTTTAAACTATACTGAAGAAGTATTCCACGTAAAAAAAATCTCCCTGAATTTTCTTCTCTAATAGCGCAGTCAAATTAGCTCTAAAAATCTGGGAAAATCAATACATAGAGGGTTTGTTTGCGGAAACATTTTGCAATCGGTCACCAGAACAACGTATCAGAAGTTTACCGGAATCGGCTGTTCGCTAAGGCCACTGTCTTGAAAAAAGGCGGGCTGAGAGGACAATATACACCGCCGGTGACCGGTTTTTCGCTCATACAGTGGAAATCGGATACAAAGACCCTCTACCGGCCTGATTTGGTCGTTATATATCCGATTGTCAAAACCGATGCACTAATGCACTGATTCAGTGGGAAGTCAATCACGGGTACGACCAGATCGCATGACCGATATGTCGTTATAAGCCGTGTTGTAATATCCGATTTCCATATTATCTCAGTGACGATAAAACCTACGGGAAAATGTTGGAAATATTTGTAAAAAGCACAAAATCACTTGTTGAAAATAGACGTTAATTACGAGTACTTTGCGACTTCTGGTTTTTGAGATATTGCGGTAGTTCTCTGCGGCTGGAGAAGTCGAATTTTGCAGTAGGGTGAAAATGGGGATTTTAGCACAGTAAATTATCCAACAGCGTTGCATGATTGTGCAGAAAAATACGAATTAAATTACAGCGTTGTATAGGGATTATTGTTCAATATGGCAACGCTGTAAAAAGAAAGTATTGCATGTTGCCCCTTCAATATGCGGGTTATGCAATGGTGTATGAATGCCCCTTCATTTTTCGGGTTATGCAATGGTGTATTTNACCCTACTTTTTGCTTAGAGTCGCGCTTTTCCCACGAAATCTGCAATTAGCTTAAAATAGGCGAGTCTGAGGGGGAAAATCGTTCTTACTGAAAAGGAAAAACATAAATTATCCAACAGAACATGGCCTCTTATTTTACTAAGAGGTCCGCCCATGCGGTTCGACCCTATGACGACTGCTGTATACAGTGAGTCTCGGCTCGGCCGCGCTGCATCGCCCCCCTCCCCCTTCATGATTTATGTTGATTCTTTGATTAAGGTGAGGAGATTTGGAAAATAATATGATTTCCACAGAATATGCTTCAAACTAATTGGACTCTGCAATAGATCAACAGGAAATCAGGTTAAAAAGTATACTTGTGACGCATGACGTCGCCACGAGTTTTATACATTTTTCAAGTATGATAGCAAATCTGAAATGTTTTCGGTTCATGAAAAATGCAGTTTTATAATTTGCAAGATAAATTATCTAGCTTATCTTAACCCTCCCTCCTCCTTATTGCGGTGTTATTTGAGCTAATTTTCACATACACAACTGAACCCATAAAACAGTAATTAACACATTCAAATTTGCATTATTGGATTGATCCTTGTGTATTGCTGATGGGTGAGATTATAAAGGAGAAGAAAATAATAATACAGTGATCTCTCTCTATTACCAGAATTCAAAGGACCCGACTAATTTCCTCGCTGTAGAGAGGTGTTCTCGTTTAACAATAATAGATCAGAAAAAGACCGACCTGCTTTCATAACAATGGAGATGTTGCATGTGTGAGGAATTTGCGATTTTACTATTGATTCTTATGTAAAAGTTCGCTAGAAACACGACGGTGCCACTGGCTTCCTCTGAAATCTACTGTCAAGCTCAAAAAAATGTCTCAAGTTGAGGCCAAAATGGAGTATATCCTAAGAGTCCACCTCTACATCAAGACAAACTCTCCATGCAAAGATAGGGAGCAAATACATTAGCAGTGATGCCGTGTTTTCAGTTTTAGAGTCCCAAAATAAAGTGGCAGCCCTGTCAATGTATTTGCTTCCTATCTTTGCATGGAAAGTTTGTCTTGATGTAGAGGTGGACTCTTAGGATAGCGTGGGATATTCCCTCCATTTTGGCCTCAACTTGAGACATATTTTTGAGCTTGACAGTTGATTTCAGAGGAAGCCAGTGGCACCATCGTGTTTCTCGCGAACTTTTACAAAAGAATCAACAGTCAAATCGCAAATTCCTCACACATGCAACATCTCTATTACTCAATAGAATAAGATACCGTTCAGAGGTCCCAAATCTCTACTAAATCTCTATCATAGGATTGTAGGCTCGGGGTGCACACTTGTCGGATTTGGTGCAGACCGCGTTAGGTCCGGCTCCGAGACATTACCAATTTTCAAAGATTAAAGCGCGCACTATGGTGAGTGCGCAATGCGTGAAGTTTGCCTCCAGTCTTGTAAGCGTCAATAAGGGCAATTCTGCGAAACGTGTCAAATAGTAATGAATGTTTTAGTTGGAAAATTGTGTGATAAAAAAGCTCACATTTCACCGAAATCATTGGCAATTAGGTGTTTTTAAGAAATTCTGACGGTTAAAGTTGTGTAAATCGATGTATTAAGCTTCATTTTCAGCTTTTACTAATTAATGTGTCACGACTGTCACTGTTATGATTGTCAGGTTGCAATGTTCACAGCCTCATAACTTTTTTTCTGGTCCTTTAAATTGTTACAATTTTTGTACTAATTTAATCAAAAATTCTTGTAGTTGAATGAACAATGCATTTGATTTAAATACAAAATGTAATTGAATTTTTAGTTTTTTGGAAGTCAGAGTGGACAGTTTTTGTAGAATTGCCCATATGCGTTAAACGCTGACCAGCGACCGAACTGTGTTTAACGCAATGCGTGAAGTATTCCTACAGTCTTGTTGGCGCTAATGTGCTCTACGCGCCGACGAGCGACCGTATTGTCCTAGGCGCAATGCGTGAAGTATTTTGGAACTCTTGTAGGCGTTATATGTGTTTCGCGCCGACCGGTGGCCGCACTACATATGTTCAGCAAGATTAGAAACGATGACACAGCATTAGGTATGAAGAAAGAAAAAAAAAGTAGAAACAAAGGACATTATCATGAATGAGAGAGGAAGATTCCTCTCTTTGTATTGAATATTTTTTAATTGTCTTCCTCGCACTAACTCAGAAAAAAGAAGATTATTTGTGTATCAATTTGACCACGCTTAGCAAAGAGGAACCAAATCTCATCAGCTATACATTGCCAAATTTAATCGGACATTTTAATATTCTATAAGAGAACGTTCGTGCAAATTATTTTGAAAATTTTAAGGAATTTGCTCCGCAATATGAAGGAAATTCACTGAAATTTGCACAAAAACCCGCGCTCCCGTGTTCATATTAAAGAAATTAATTAAATATATATATAAAGGTCGCTTTACAGCACTTCCTCGCGCTCTACGACTCCTAACCTCCACTGCTCTCTTTCAAACCACAAATTTTGGGGGATTGAGCACCTTAACATTTCCGCTTCAATCCCTTCCCTCCAACCTTTCGTTGGGCGCCCTCTGCGTCTTCTCCTAGGAGGAACCCAGTCAAGGACCTTCTTCGGCAACCTGTCTCCTGCCATTCTCTGGACATGACCATACCAAATGAGTTGTTTTGTCAAGAAATTAATTAAATTCCCCGATTAAATTGGGCTTTGGTTGGTGTGGCTTGGTTCCTGTCTGCTCAACGCAGTCCAATTAGTGTTAAATACAAAAAAAGAAAAAAATAACATTATCTACAATCGTGGCTGCTGGTCATTATTACCTACAACACGCACTATATGGAGAAGGAGGCATCGAAGAAATGAAAAAGGCACATGCGTAAATAGATTAAAGTGCTCATTTTTCTGGTAAAGCTATCAGAATAAGTGATGCCATCCCATTTTGAACCACAAAAATTCACGACACGGCTAAGCCGAGGCCGAGACTTATTGCACATTACAGCCGCCATTTGGTTGCACCGCTTAGGGACCCGGAGTAAAATAAAAGGCACCGTTTTATTGGAAATTTATGTTCTTCCATTTCAGCTGGAACAATCGTTTTTCTTCAGACTCGCATGTTTTGAGCTAACTGTAGATTTTAAAGGAAAAACGCGATTTCAAGCAAAATTCGACTTCACCAACCGCAGAGAACTGCAACATGCTCCCGCAAGGAAACCTTCTATACATTGATTTTCCAAGAAAAATGCCAAATTGACTGGACTGTAAGTGAAGAATATTCTATGAAAATTTCTAAAACCTGTGCCGGTTGGTGCTCCTTCTAAAAATTAAGATGGAAGCGGAGATTTTGAGACACCGCAAAATGGATCCAATTGTAGTAGTTTCACCGTCAAATAGCTAGCTTCTGGAGAGTTACGATCGACACAGGAAAAACATTCGCGGATTTCTACTCTTGCGTACTTTCTCCCGAAAATTCTAAGTATAAAATGGACAGATTCAGCCGGAATCATTAAACCCTTCCTGCATTTGGACGTATTTATACGAAAATGAACTATGTTACACGCAAACCCTCTGCACATAGCTCCTTTTAACATAAATACGTACATTTTGACATTGCCTACCCAGGTAGCAATAGTAACAGTTCAAAATTGCAATTTCACAACAGTTTTTACACTGTTACTTTTGTGCACTTTTTCATCGAAAAATTTGCTCTAGTACAACAGTTGAAAAACCAACGGAAAAGAGAAGTCCTTTGCGACTATAATCACTGAAAAATTTTTCTTACATACTTAAAAAATACCAGTGGAAAATTTATAATTTAGTCATGTTTTCTGAAAATATAACACAAATTTAACTAGTGTTATACACCGATCGAAAAGGAAACTATTATTGCAATAAAAACATACTTAGATTTGAAATAAAACGACGGTTTAAAATTCTCAATCAAAATCACTTACTTAACAAAACTTTTTTAAAGAAAGGAAAGTAGATTAACAT